GTGGGGCTGCAAGTCTGCATCAGGAAGGGCAGGCGTGCAGCCCCACTCCCCAGGAACCATGTGATGGTGACACTTTCACGCCAGGATCTTGTGTTTCCCATGAGACCTGCTAATCCTACACCCAGGACCAAACAGCACTGGGAAGTGGGTCTCCTCTGCCTTTAACAACAGTCTGGCATGCAGAAATTTTGCAGGTGGGCACTTTCCTCATCTCTTTATAAATAAATGTCTACACCTGCTTGCTTGCTTGCTTGCTTGCTTGCTTGCTTGCTTGCTTTATTTCCTGCATATCAGGATGTTGCTAAAGGCACAGGAGCTGGGCCAGCAAAAATGAAAGGTGGCCAGAAGACAAGTAGAAGTCAGGATGCCTGCAGCTCTCATTTTGGAAGGGCCACAGCTCAGTGGAAGAGCGTTTGCTTTGCATACAGAAGGTCTCAGGTTCAGACCCCAGCATCTCCGGGTGAGATTGGGAGAGACTCCCTGTCTGAAACGCTATCGCTGCTGAGAATATTGAGTTAGACCAGTCATCTGACTCGGTAAACAAGGCAGCTTCCTCCAGGAAGGACTGGAGCTCAGTCCTTGGCATGCAGAAGACCCCAGGCTCAGTCCCTGCCACTGCCAGGGTAGGGCTGGGAAAGATGTCCTGCGTGAAACCTGCCCCTGCACTCAGTTTGACAAAGTATAAGGCAGCTGCCTGCATTCTGCGTTGTGCATTCACAGCTCTCTGCAGAAACAAGAGTGAGTCACAGTGGGTGTCTAACTCTGCGTGTGCAAATTACGCATTACTGAGTTTGAGGACAAATTAGAGCAAAGCTTTATGTGTACTCATAAGACATATGTGGCCCCTGATGCTTCCTGAAGTCCCACATTCTTCCATTCTGTCAGAGACTAGTTCCTTTCTTCCTGTTAATATCCTCAATTTCCCTGGCTTTAAAAAAAGCCCTGTCTGCCTTTTTATTACATTTTTAAAAAACTTTTTACCTGCTTCTATGGCTTGGGGAAAGTAAGTTCCCTCCCTCAGCTTTCTAAAGACCAAGTGGGATGCTTCTGCAATGCTACATTTGCAATATATGTGTCTGTGTGTGGTGTACTAAAGTTAGAATCCAGTAGCTGGATTCGTCTGTTGTAAGGACCTTCTGTATACTAATTTAAGAGCAACCCTGTCAAATCCAATCAGGCTTAATTCTGAGTAGACCTGCATAGGATTGAAAATTCTAATGTACCCATGGGGAAATTATCTTTATTCCATATTGGTTCACCCAATACCCTTTTCTCTCTCTAGCTACACCTAGCTCTGGTTCTGCCTGCTCCTGGCATGTGGTTCTTTAAGACATGATGGAGTCGACTCTGTGGGGCCACCTAATTTGGTTGAGGATGGTCTTGTGATTTTTGTTTTGGGTCAGATGTTGGGCCATAACAGAAAGTGAGGGCTGGGGTGGAAGTGCACATGGGACCTGAGTGAGGCTTTGCTGCTATTTGCTGGGAACACTTGTTTCCAAATGGCCAGTGGATGAAGCTCCAGACGGTAACTTCCTTCTGACTTGCCTTGATAGGAGTGCCCCAGCGGCTTGGTGGATGAAGAGACCTTCAAACTGATCTATGCTCAGTTCTTCCCACAGGGAGGTGAGTCTGGGACTGATGTCTTCCTTTCAGCTGCTATTTGGGTTAAGGCACTGAGCCCCCTGCGAGAGTGATGCTGTCACAAAGCTTTTCCCCAGAACGGCAGTCCATGCAAAAGCAAGAATGCCTAGCCAACTTCTAATGCTGTGCCTCTGCCAGCCTAGTGCACCCCAGGTGTTATGGACCACAACTCCCATCAGCCTACCAGGTTGGCAAAGTCTGCTACATATACATCCAAATATGTATTGCTGCCTGTATTGGCTGGTGAAGGCAGGTGAACATGGGAAGGATGTGGGTGGATTCCTATGGTAAAAATACCCAGGTACCTAAGCAGAACTTGAATAACCATCAAACCAGTTTAAGTCCCCCAGAGAATTCTGGGAACTGTAGTTTTATTAGGGGGTGGTTATATGTGTGCTAGAAATTGTCAGCATTCTTAGCTCCCTAACTAAGGTGGCCACTTAAGCATTGCCAAAAAAAGCAGAAATGTAACACCAAAATTATAGGACACAGATTTGTATATAAAGTTTGAGTAATTGTAATTTGATGAGGATGCACAGAATTATTTGTACACTATCCCCAGCCTTCTCTCAGAACTACCATTTCAGGGCCCACGTGGATGTAATTGTGCCTATACCCTTAGAAGCATGGCCAAGACCAGTGAAACTTGGGTTCAAATCCTTTCTCTCTCATGCACAACTTAACCTCAGGATTATTATTTTTTAATAATATTTATTAAGTTTCCCAATTTAACAATCCAATAAAGGCAACATTAAAAACATTCCAAATTATAAAACAATCAAACAATCCAAATATTAAGCCAAATCATATATCTTTGTTTGACTTCCCATGCTCTGAGGTTGGAGGATTGCCATCATCTCACTTTTGCACTGCTTTCTTAATTAGTCCAGGTGATTCCCATAAATCAATCTGATGTTAATCCTTCGTTCATTTTCACAGCCTCTGAGTTCGTCCCAACTTAACCTCAGGATTGCTGTGATGATAAAAATGTGATTATAAAAAAAATCCCATGGATGTCATCTTGAGTCCTCAAAATAAATGCAGGACATGGATAAATGTCCTCAGCAACATGGGGACATTGCTCCAGCAACCTGTGTGGTGGTCGGGCAAATAGTGTGGTTCCTTCACAGGTGCTATTCCATCTTGCCCAAGAGAAAGATGTTGCTGTGAAGCGGGTCCTTTCCTGCTGCTAAGATGTGTGAGCCAGGGAAGGGCCGTCACTCAGTGCTAGAACACATGTTTGCATGCAGAAGGGGCTGGGTTCAATCCCCAGGCTGGGCTGGGAAATACTCCCTGCAGGAAGCCCCTGAAGAGCCCCCGCCCGTCAGCACTGACTAGGATTGAGGAAGATCTGTGGCCCCCTAGATGTCGCTGGACTCTGGCTCCCATCAAGCCCAGCCAGCGAGTTGCTTGACTACAACTCCCATCATCCTTAACCATCATCAAGGATGATGGGAGTTGGAGTCGAGCAAGTCTGGAGGGCTCCCACCATGCTGAGCTAAATGAACCAACCCACCTGGCAGTATCCTGCACCTTCCTGTGTTCCTGCTTCGTAGGCAGAGTGAATAAGCAAGACCCCACAAGCCCCTGTAGCCCACCTGCTTCTGCTGTTCCCTCTGCAGATGCCACCATGTACGCGCATTTCCTGTTCAATGCCTTTGATGTGGACCGGAATGGAGCCATCCGCTTCGAGGTAAAGTGCTCTTCTCTCTGTTCCTTGGGTTGTGGCTCCAGGGAGTCCTTGGTGAACCATTTGGGAGGTAAAATCGGTCAGAAGCAATGGGACAGGTGGGAAAGGCCTCTCTTCTCGCAATCTAAACACCAACAATTCTTTTGCTGAACATCACCTTGCTCAAAGAGGTTTTGGGTTGGGTACAAAACCCTGCCAAACCTGTTTCCCAGAGGCAAAAGTAAGGGTGAACAGGTATACTCTTAATCTGCAGGCTGTTGCTCTGTGGAAAAAACGCAAATGGTGCTTTCTTGGGTGCCATTTCCCAGCCTCAAACATACCCCACAAGTGTTCCATTTTAAGTGGGACATCCAGAATCCCAGAAGCCAATCCCAGCTTCTGTTTGCATCCCAGAATGTCCCTTTTTCAGTCCTGCGCTTTGGTGTGAGTCCTTGCCCCAGACCAAAAGAACCCTGCTGAGAGCCGGATCAGAGAGCTGGACCAGAAAGTGTATCCCTTCTGATGTCCTGATTTGGGGAATGAAAATGTTAGAGAATATGCCTTCAGCCGATGCACCATATTCACCAGGACTGAAGGGGGGTGTGAAGGGGGAGGTGCAGAGCAAAGAGGCACAGGTTCAGCAGCAGTTGGTAACCTTTTGGAGCAGTGGGCACTTTTGGAATTTTGACAAAGTGCTGTGTGTGCAAGGAACAAAATGGTAGCTACAGGGGCTCGGCATAATGGCAAGATCAGAAAAAGAGGTAGGACCACAAAATGGTGAGGGGATGCTCCCCCCCCCCCCGACACACCAGCTGCCCCATCAATGGGAGAATGGCACCCACATTATCTACTGCTGCACTTGCTGAGAAAGAGAAGCTCGTTGCGCCTCTCCTCTGTTCAGAATGGATAAAACCTTTCACAGGCGCCATAGTGCATGCAGGCACATGGGAGCATCTGTTGGTCTCCCCTGCTCTGGGGTCAGTATATCCCCTGCATGCTTCCTTTGCCAGTGCCAGCTCCCAGTTTTGCAGCAGAGGGGCTTGAGCAAGATCCCTTAAGGTAGCCCTTTAGGAGAAGGAAAACTCTTGTCCTAAACCTTCATTGCCTTGCGGGGTATCTTCAAGAGAAGAAAAGGCTAAGGAGTAAATCCTACGCAAATCCGGAGTAGAGTCCCTACGACAGTTGGATGGCACCTTCCGGCAACTCCTGCAGCCAAGCTGGTGTCAAACATCTTGCTCTGCTTTCCTTTGGACCACATCAGCGAGGCTGGGGGGGGGGTTGTCTTGTCATCTGGGACGGCCAGGACCTCCCTGCACGCTGCCCAGGCTTGCACCCCAGGGAGGTCACTTTGGTGCTGCGAACACAGCGGATTGATGGAGGCACACTCCATTGTCTCTTGAGACAGACAGATGCCAACAGCAACAACATATAGTTAACAACTATTAGTTGTGTACATTGCTTCCAATAGGTCTACTCCAAGTATGAATAACATTGGATGCAACACAGAGTTGGAAGGTGTCAGCATAAAAACCGCTCTTGAATCTGCAGTAGAAAAGCCTTAATTGGCCTTAAGGAAATTCACAGGCGTAGCAAATTTCAGAGAAGCAGGGAGAGTTCTAGCGTCGTTGGGGAGGTCCTGAGACTGCAGATTATACACAGTACACACATTTCAAAGGCACTACATGAAAAGGCTGTAGCTCAGTTGTAGAGCATCTGTCCTGCATGCAGAAGGTCCCAGGTTCAGTCCCCAGCATCTCCAGGTAGAACTGGGAGAAACTGCCTGTCTGGATCCCTGGGGAGCCACTTGAAGGGCTTGTCCACACTTCTGTTTGTTCTGTGCTTGTTCTGTGGGTCTGAGAGGTTTTACATTTGCCCCCCTGCTTTCCCTGGGAATCCTGCTGTTTGCCACTGAATGTCATGTGGGTTTCCTGTGGTTTGATGCTTCTTCTGATTCAGTGATAAACAGCAGGTTTTCCTGGGGAAAGTGGCAGGGCATATGAAAAACCTCTTGCAGCCGTCCCTAGAAAACACTGGGCAGCTAGCTGGACCAAAGGCCTGAATCAGCACAAGGCAGCTTCCTCTGCTCCTGTGTTCTTACTATGACGTCCCATTTGGAGGAAAGAGGGGAGGGGAGGTGTGCTGTTTTCATGGGAGCTGCACCATGGGATACCCAATTGCTCTGCCCCTTCCTCTCTTGCAGGATTTTGTCATTGGCCTCTCCATCTTGTTGCGTGGGACGGTGCATGAGAAGCTCAAGTGGGCATTCAACCTTTATGACATCAACAAGGATGGCTATATCACCAAGGAGGTGAGTTGTGTGTGTGTGTGTGTGTGTGTGTGTGTGAGAGAGAGAGAGAGAGAGAGAGAGAGAGAGAGAGCGCTTGTGCTCTGGCATCCTTGAGGCTACCTTTTAATATGTCTCTACTGTCCTTACTTACAGCATAAACCTTGGTAAAGTGTTGTCCTTTGTTGTCCCATCTTTGCCTTTGGGGATGATTTGTTAAAACTGTCCTTCTTGGTAGTATGAAGTTTTTAGAGTTCCTGTTCTTCAGGGTTTAGCTCTGGGCTCATTCAGATGACACCTATTTATTGAGCATTCATCCTGATTTGTTTGCACAGCTCTATACTTCATTGGGACGCGGGTGGCGCTGTGGGTAAAACCTCAGCGCCTAGGACTTGCCGATCGCATGGTCGGCGGTTCGAATCCCCGCGGCGGGGTGCGCTCCCGTCGTTCGGTCCCAGCGCCTGCCAACCTAGCAGTTCGAAAGCACCTCCGGGTGCAAGTAGATAAATAGGGACCGCTTACCAGTGGGAAGGTAAACGGCGTTCCGTGTGCTGCGCTGGCTCGCCAGATGCAGCTTGTCACGCTGGCCACGTGACCCGGAAGTGTCTGTGGACAGCGCTGGCTCCCGGCCTATAGAGTGAGATGAGCGCACAACCCTAGAGTCTGGCAAGACTGGCCCGTACGGGCAGGGGTACCTTTACCTTTACCTTTATACTTCATCAGGCCAAGGTATTCAGATGGATACTGGGACCTTCTGCATGCAAAACACATCCTCTCCTACTGCGCCACAGTCCTTGCGGTTTGAAGAAAGGGGTGGTTTAAATAGGAAGCTGCCTTATCTCAAGTCAGACCATTGAGTCCTCTAGCTCTGTAAAGGTTGCACTACCTGGCAGGGGGTCTCGAGGGAGGAGTCTTTCCCAGCCCTACTTGGAGCTGCTGGGGATTAAATCTGGGGCCTCTTGCATGCAAGTTAGATGCTCTAGCCACTCAGCTACAGTCTCTTCCCCCGGCTGGAAGTCAGGGCTGATTAAGAAGTGCAAAAATCCTTTGCATTACTCTCAAGCTTCTTGCCTTTGAGCAGAGTCAAACTAAAGAGTCCACTAAAGACAGAAAAGGAGTGGGGAGAAAGCTGGCTTCATCCGGCCTCTTGACTGCTCTGAAAGCTTTGCTGTCCTTCTCTGCCAGGAGATGTTGGCAATAATGAAGTCCATCTATGACATGATGGGCCGCTACACCTACCCAATCTTGCGGGAAGATGCTCCCATTGAACACGTGGAGAAGTTCTTCCAGGTAAGGGGACTGGGGGTGCGGGGCAGCAGGTAATTCCTTGATTAGCCAAGAAAGCAGCTGGGAGGCGCTGAAAAGGAGCAGGCAAGGTGAAATCAGAGGGTGACGGAAGTTACAGGTGCCTGAAGCTGTTGTGTAGACACAAAAGTCCATGGCAGGATGGTGCAATTCTCCACAAGTGCCTGCTGTGTGTTTTCCTTCTAGGTATATCTGGACCATGACTCCCATCATCCTTGGCCATGGCCCATGTTGGCCAAGACTGAGGGGCACTGGACTGTCTCACCCCAGATATTCCTGCCTGACAACTGCAGTCCTCAGCTGGGGTATTGCATGCCCCAGAGCTGCACTTACTGTGCATGCCAGAGACTGAGGGCAGTATCTGACTAACGTCTCCTGTCAGTGCAAGGGTTTCTGCTTGCTCAATGAAGCATCCCTGCCACACACCTTCAGATGTGCTCTGGAGGGTTGGGGAACTCCTAGGGCAGATTTAGGGGGCTGTAAAGAGAGGAGAGGAAGGAAAGTTCAGTTGCACAAGCAGAAATCCTAGCAGTGACAGGCGGCCTTAATTGGATACCGCCCTAAGGGTTGCATCCAGTGCTTTTCCCCCCAGGGGGTACTTAAGGGTATGCAGTACCGGCACCTCTTTTTTTAGTTTAAAAGTGTGACACTTGTAACTTGTAACAACTTCATGGTGAGCACAGACACCTATTTTTCTAGAAAAAGGGCACTGGTTTCATCCAGCCGTGTCATCTCATCCACACAAGGACTTCCTTTTGTGCAATGGAGCTTGCCCTCCTTTCCTTCCCCTACATGCCCCCCAATCTGTTTGGGGGTTCCCACAACCCTCTGGGACAGACTGGGGGACAGGTGAGTGGAGGGAAGAAAGAGTTCACCGCGCAAGCAGGTTTCCTTGCACAACCCCCAGGTTTTTAGTGTTGCAGCTCCAGCCTTCTGGAATCAGTGCCCAGCTGAAATTAGCCAAGCACCAAGCCTTCTGACATTGGTTGAAGATGGTTTTTGTTTAAGAAGGCTTTCCCCTGTCATTTTATGGAATAATAAACATACAGTTTTCGAAATGGTTTTATTGCTTTTGTTTTACTGAGTTTGTAATCTTTTGCATTTTATCTTGTTTTGCTGTACATTTCTTTGGTAGTAACTTCTTGGGGTTTATAAATCTGCAGATAAATAAATAAATAACTGGTGGAGGCCCCAGGTTCTTACTTAAGGACTTCCTATGTCTCTGCTTCATGTTTATTAAGCAAGCATTCTGGTGAAACAAAACCAGCCTCAGCTGGGGGTGGGGGTTGCCGTTTACTGAGGCTGTTATTTTATGGAAGTTTGAGTGCTGTCCATCAGAGCACATTGGGACTTAACAGCAGATGCTGATTCAGACTGTCAATGGAAGCAGAGGCAGAAGCTGCAGGAGAGGGGAAAGGGACTGTCAATAGACTGTCCAGTGGGGCACTGCAGGCACCTCAGGCAGGCTTGCACACCCTGGGGGAGGAAAAAGGTGGGGCAGTGCATTTATAGGGTCTGGACTCTGCATATCTGGGTCAGGCATCTGTTATTCACACAGCACATTTTGCATTTCAGAAAATGGACAAAAATCAGGATGGCGTGGTCACTATTGAGGAGTTCCTAGAGACTTGTCAGAAGGTGAGCTCAAGAACAGCCCCACAAAATCCTGCAGCAAGAGACCAACAGCCTGGTGCTCTTTTTAAAAGGAGTGGGGGCAGTGTGCTCTTTTTATTTAAAAGGTTTAAAGCTTTTCTGTTTAAGGGGCCCAATAAATACCCACTTTCAAGCTGAGTATGAAAATCTGAAATCATTGGGAACACTTCTTTTAAAAAATATTTTTTAATTTGGAGGTGTTGGCAATTCAGAACTGATTCAAAATGACAGTGGAAATGTAGCAGTTGTGCTGGTTTGTATAGTTGTCACGGACACCGTCCAATAGGCACTGCCCATGGCTCATGCATGTCCACCAGAGGAAATTCAGCCATCATGCTTGTTGAAGAAATAATCGCTGGATTCCACTATAACTCCATGATCTTCCATTATCACAGTGTTTCCAGAATGTCAGAGAGCTGGCACATTTATTGCAGAATTAAGATGGGAGGGAAACGCTTTCCCTCTTTGTGTAAGGCTTGCCCACTGCATGAGTCACTGATCTGGATTTGCCTCCTGGTTTGTGGATATAAGCCCAGATCAGTGACTTAAGCAGAGATGTAGCAAGCAGCCTCCTCTGATTCTGCTGCCTCTTTGCATTGAAAATTATTGAGCCATCTAGTCAGACCTGTTGCAGAGACACGCAGAAGTACCCATCCCCATCAGAGGCTGATTGAAGATGCTAAGGCCACAGCAATGAATCTTGCAGCGTGGTACTGGGCACCCTCCTCTGTGTAGATGAGTGCTTTGGGCTTCCTTACCAGAATCTTTAATGAGGGTTTAATGTATTTCTTACTGCATGAAGTTTGGGATTTCCTCTAGGATAAGCCTAAAGATGATGAACTTTGTTCACATTTTTCATCCCAGCCACGTGTCTGAGCAGTGCTGCTATTGTGCTTGTACCCAGCTCACAGGCTCCCCATGGGGACATCTGGTCAGCGCCTGGGAGAGCAGGAAGCTCAACTAGATGTGCTGCTGGCCTGACCCAGCAGGTGCTCTTCTTAGGCTCCTAGACAGTCACTCAGACCTCCTCTCTCTCTGTCTCCCTGCATCAGGATGAGAACATCATGACCTCCATGCAGCTGTTTGAGAATGTCATCTAGGGCGCCACCGCCAGGGATCCCGCCACGTCTCTCCCGCCCCACCTGCCTCCTTGGCCTGCACTTGGACAGACCTGTCCATCTTTCTTGTGAAGCACACACGTCTTTCCGAGGAAACAAAGAAAACAACCAAAAAACTCTTTTTATATTTCAGGGTGGGGGGAATAAAAAGACAAAAAGGGAAAGAGATGCTGTTTGCTTGAAAGATTTGCTGGATGCTCACAACTGAATGTCTAGGAGCCGAGGGATTGCGGGGGGGGGGGGGGGAGTGACTGGGCTCTTACAGGAATCTCTGGTACAGCAGGGAATTGCTCCGAGAGAAGAGATGCCTCATCGGCCCAGGGAAAGATATTTTTCTAGCATCATATTGGAGAAGGATTCTGCTTTTCTGAGAGTGAATGGCAGCACTTCTCCTCCCCCAAATTTATTAAGCTCCATTTCTCAAACACCAAATCCTTCAGTACTTGAATAGGGCCGTTTTCCCCTTCAGAGTTGTGCTCTTGCACAGCTGCTGTTCATTTCAGCCAGCCTTGAATAGGGAACTACCGTTTTGCACACCCGCCATCCCTCCTGGGGGGCCATCCCTGCCCCCACCCCACCCCCCAGTTGGCCCTCCTGCTCCATATTCTGCATTTCACATTTCCCCCGCCCCCCACTCTCCCTTCAGCTGAAGTGAGAGGAACAGGAGAAGGATGCAAAAGTCACTTTGGAAACCCTGACTCCTGACTGACTGTGGCCTGCAGTGGCTCTTGGGAGGTGTGCAAGAGCAGCAGCAGCAGAGCTCTCTGGATGTATGTGAGCTCTGCAGAGTTGCACCACTGCAGGCAAGTCCTTAGATCCTGATCTCCGCTAGCCAGTGCTCGGCTGACATATTCTCATGGAAAGCAGGAGGATGGCATAGACTTTAAAGTCCTTGCTGCGTATACTCCCTGCTGCATATACACACAAAACTTTTAAAGCAAATTCGAAGCATATTCTTTCCCTCAAAGAATTCTGGGCACTGTAGTTTGCTGTTCCCAGAGTTACAATTCCCAGCAACTCTTGACAACAGTGTCCAGAATTCTTTGAGGGAATGTCCTTCAAATGTGCTTTAAAGGCAGAGGGTATACACAGCATATGCAAGTGGTCCCACCAGAGACGTTTTCCACACTGACTGGTCTGCTCCATAGCTCCTGGGCATTTGCAGAGGGCTCTTGGATGCATTCTAGGGCATAGACACAATTTATGCAGGTGGTTGGGATACATTTTACAGGTCATGTAAAATGCATCCTGGAAGGTGTCCCAGAATGCTTTGTAATAAGCATGGCACAGAGAGATCGGGAATGTTGAGCAATCTGCCATTCAGAGAATCCTGACTGCCCTTTCCTGACCTTCCTCTCCCTTAATGAGGAAGTCCAGGGATTGCAGAAATTTGAAAAGCAGAGATGAGTTGACCCCCCTCCCATTTCCATTCTTGTTGCACATCTCTGCCTGCCTCTTGGTTTAATTTAGGGATTCTACCATTACTTTGCTTTTGTACCCTTCTCTTACAAGTTACTGATATACACCAGCACATACAGTATTTGCACTGATCAAATCACAGTGCAAAACAAAAGGAAAGTGAGTCCTGATGTGATCACATTACAATTCCATTTTGTGGTGCAATTTAATCAAAACACTGATGTCCATTAGTAATTTGTATAGGAAAGGAAAATACCTGAACTGGAACTTACAGCAAACTCTGGCTTTGCAGGAGTCTGTACAAAGCTCAGGAATCAAAAATTCAGAATGACTGATTGCTTATTCCAGAAACCAGATCAGGGAATCTGGGATATCAAAACCCAGAGAGGGAGATTTCATGAGCGTCCCTAAAAAACCACCATCTGTGCCATAAACCCAAAATGACCAGACTCAGCACTTCAAAAAGGACTTGACCTTACACATTGCAATGTCCATTTCATATTTCTCTTCTTGTTCTCTCCAGACGCAGATGGCTACAGTATTGCTCCCCCTGTCACACATAGAATCATAGAGTTGGAAGGGACCTTGAGGGTCATCTAGTCCAACCCCCTGCGATGCAGGAATCTCAGCTAAAGCATCCATGGCAGGTGGCCATCCAGTCTCTGCTTCAAAACCTCCAATGAAGGAGAGCCAATACACAATCTCTCTGCTCTGATTGCCTTGGGCAAGACAGGGTCTCCCATTGCCAACCAGGCTACAAAGTGTGGTTCCCTTGTCCTCTCCCACCCACACCCCAGATCCCTCTCAGGATGTTGTGAGGTTGTACTCAATGCTTCCTGACATATGTACAGTATAAGGAATGGCCGCATGTCCCACTAGCCTTTCATTCCAGCATCTCCTAAACCTCCTTTCACAGCACAATATGGGGAGACAGTCGCTGGTTCTTGTTCTCTGTAACTACTTGATATTCAGTCACTGTATATTTTAATAAAATAAGCATCAAAAAAGACCAAGGAGTTTCAGCCCATCGTATTTCTCTAGGCTTCTTGCGATGCCCTTACATTTTGTTCCAGTAAACCAGTGTCACCCAATGTGATGCCATCCAGATGTTCTTGAGCTGCACCTCCTGCCATCCCTGATCATTGGCCATCCTGGCTGGAGATGATGGGAGTTGGAGTGCAACATCTGGAGGACCACAAAGAAGCCACTGAATGGGTAAGGATTAAACAGCTTCTGAGTGATGGAAGTATGTGTGTGCGTAAGCAGTTGTGGAAGAAATGTCCAGGTGCTCTTGGAGTGATAGGTGAGAAGGACCATAGCTCAATAGTAGATCATCTGCCTTGTATGCAGAAGACCGCAGGTTCAGTCCCCGGCATCTCCTGGGAATGTTCCCTCTGAAACCCTGGAGAGCTGCTGCCAGTCAGTGTAGACAGTACTGAGCTGGATAGACCAATGGTCTGATTCCCAACTTGAGCAAAGAAAATGCCACAAGGACATTATGGCTGAGATAGCAGAGTTGCACTTTTTGGCTCATTTGGTTATAGCAGTTTGGGAGAGCTGGGCCTGTTTAATCCTGATTTTGGTGAAACAAAGCGCTAAACTCTTGGGCATGTTTACTCACAAGTGAATCCCACTGAGCTTACTCCCAAGCAAGTATTGTACTATAACACTTACCGTATTTTTTGCTCTATAAGACTCACTTTTTCCCTCCTAAAAAGTAAGGGGAAATGTGTGCGTCTTATGGAGCGAATGCAGGCTGCGCAGCTATCCCAGAAGCCAGAACAGCAAGAGGGATTGCTGCTTTCACTGCGCAGCGATCCCTCTTGCTGTTCTGGCTTCTGAGATTCAGAATAATTTTTTTCTTGTTTTCCGCCTCCAAAAACTAGGTGCGTCTTGTGGTCTGGTGCGTCTTATAGAGCGAAAAATACGGTACTCATTTGGGGTTCAGGCGTAGGCCTTGTAACAGTATGGGATTGAAGTCATAAATGCACGTAACTGCACCTGGTTGGGGCCATTGCACACTCTAGCAATCGTCCATTTTACTTTAATTTTTAAATTAAACATTAAACCTGGTGAAGCAGCTGGATTCTTAGGGACCAAGAAACCTGCAGACGGGACCTGAGCACAAGAGCACTCATCCTCCGCCTGTGGTTTCCAGCAACTGGTATTCAGAAGCATTATTGCCTCCAGCTGTGGAGGCAGAGCAGAGACATCCTGGCTGTGAACCCATCAATAGCCTTCTCCTCCATGACTTCATCCAGTCTTCTTTTTAAAGTCATCCAGACTGGTGGCCACCCCTGATGCCTGCTTGCTTCATTGGAGGTTCTTGTGTTATGAGAGAGGGAGATAAACTTTTCTCTGCTTTCTCCATGCCATGAATCATTTTTTGAACTTCTGCCATGTCACCTCTTATTTGCCTTTTCTCTGTACTAAGAAGTCACTGCAACCTTTCTTCATGGCTAGAATGACTCTTGTCCTGCAAGTACTTTCTGCACTCGGGAGAAACTAATATTACTGTACTGTCCCCATTGATGGAGATGGCCCGAGTAGGCCACCTGACCGCCCCTGCCGTGCTTACATTGTGATTTGGGCATTGTTATTATCTCCATATCGGGGGGGGGCAGTAAGCGCATGAGGGCACCACGTCTGAGGAAGACGCTCCCATCCCTGCTGCAGGGTGGCCCACTGTTAACATCCCCAAACAGCTCATCAGAATGGTGTGCACTGTGAGAGTTGGGTGGGGCTTAGGGTTGCCACCTGTCCTGTATAACACAGGATTGTCTCATATTTCAAAGTAAAATGCTATGTCCTGTATTGTAGTTTGTCCTGTATTCCCCATATTTCTGCTATGCTGCTGCTGCTGCTCTCTCTGTCTCTCTCTCTCTGCCAAGTTATGGATCCTCGCCAAATGTCTCCCTCTGCTCCTACATGGAAGACATTGCTGGCTTGGTTGGATAAACTGCCTCTTGCTTTTTCTTTTCCCTCCTCACACTCTCTCCTCATCTCGCCACCAAGGAGGAGCAAACCAGGGCAAGGCTTTCATGCTGCTGCTTCCAGGAAATCAGCCCTGAGTGCTCACTGGGAGGACAGATCCTGAAGCTGAGGCTCCAAGACTTTGGCCAACTCATGAGAAGAGAAGACTCCCTGGAAGAGACCCTGATGTTGGGAAAGATGGAGGGCACAAGGAGAAGGGGACGACAGAGGACGAGATGGCTGGACAGTGTCCTCGAAGCTACTAACACTGTAGCACCCTGCTTGTGGTTAACGCTTAGCTGGAATGAAATATTCAACGCAGCAATAGAGAAATTAAAATAATAATTTATTTGTCAGACAAATAAATGAGAGACACAGTGGTATATGGTTACCAAAGCTCTGCCCCCTCCAGCCCGGATGGCCAGCACTTATATTTCCTCAGCCCAGCCCCCTTGCTCCTCCTTTGGCTGCCTCTGTCCAATCAGCCTGGTTGAAATTCCTATTGGCTGTTTGCTAGAACCAATCATAAAAGATACACCCACTTCCTATTACCTTTTATGGGAGACAAAGAGCTATATTTCCTTCTATCCATAAATGGCAGACAAGTAGCCATATATCTCACATTTGCCTCGACAAGGCACCTTAATTACCAGATCACCTTTTGCCCTGTTGCCCCTGGCAACAGGGGCAAATGGCTAAAACAGATGGCTCATGGTTTTACATTCTATCTAAACAGAGATCTTGGGTTCACATTCTCACACACCATCAATGAAATAAGAATCCAACATAAGAATCTAACATTTCTTACTTTCTAAATCCTTTGCATAATTACATTTAAGCCAATAAATCTCATACATTAACATAGATAGCTTTTTAGAAGAAAAGGCCTTTGCAAAATAAAAAGGAACTCAGTAAAACAGCTTCTTCAGTTTACACCCCCCTTTCCCCAGCCAGCTGCTTTTCCCATTAGCTCTTCCCCTTTAACCTTAGGAAAATATGGCTCGAGTCTAAAGGGAGGCACATGGTATTATTTTCCGTTAAACAATAAATCTTACTATTTACCAACTCTTAATTAGTGTTTTTGCAGCTTGATTATTCTGTAATATGTAGGGTCAATGTAACCTTTGCTCCCAGCCTGTATTTCCCTTTTACAACTTTGAGAAACGTGTCTCCTGTTACTGCTATAAATCAGGGGGGGGCCTTGTCCAGGAGAGCAGGAAGATAAACAACTGCCAAAGTACTTAGCCAGCTGCTTTATGCCTGGCATGAAACATACAAACATTTGCAAATATATCTTTAAGCTCATTTTAAAATACAGGTCTTGATCAGATGCCTCAACACGAGTCTGACCAAACTGCGGGAAGCAGTGGAAGACAGGAGGGCCTGGCGTGCTCTGGTCCAGGGGGTCGCGAAGAGGCGGACAGGACTAAACAAGAAGCCCAGAAGCCCCCATTCTGAACATTGTTATCCGCATGACATTTGGGGGGGGGGGGAGAAAGTAGCTCCCCACAAGGTTTTCCCCATCCCCCACCCCTCCGGCCCCATCATTAGGAAAGAAGACGCCTTCCGCTGTTTGTTTATTTTGCTCTGGCTCTGCAAGGTCAGGTGGACTGGGCTGTTGTTTGGTTTTTGGGTTTTTGTTTCGCTGCAGGGGGTGTTGCTTTTTTTGTCTTTCTTTTGGATGTTGTGATTTATGTGGAAATTGTTCAGTTTGGTTGCACATATTTTGATGTTTTGTTTATTGCTAATGACAACTTTCATTATGCTGCAGTTAGGCATATTTTCATGTTGTGAGCCGCCTTGAGCATGCTTTGACCTGTGGAAAGGCGGCAGACAAATAAAAGTAGGCATATCTGCATGTATGTGGGGGTTCGCAGTAACGTTGCGTCAGAGGGTGCAATGGGCCGGCCGCGGCTTAAGGCGCCCTTGGTCGCTTCCCCGCCCCGCCTACTTTGCGCCCCCCCCCCGCTTATCTGATGCGAGCGAGATGCATGGTGGGAGTTGCAGTTTATGGACGACTGTGGCGCATGCGCCGACCAGGAAGCCCTGGCCAGAGGTCGCTGCGCGCAGCGGGACAGGTGAGGGTCCGCAGTTGCTGCGGCGGCCAAGGGGGCTCCGCGGCGGGGGCGGCAAAGGGGCCAGAAGCCTTTTGTCCTGGGCGGGGCTCCTCGTCCGCAGGCGCGGGTTTCGGGACCTCGCGCAGCGCCCGCCTGGGCTGCCGCCGCTTCGCCTGCGGAGCGAGATCGGGGGAAGCAGCAGCAGCAGCAGCAGCGAGCGCGCGGGGCTGTGGGGAACGGCGCTACCCAGCCCGCGCGCGAGGTGGAGGGCAGCGTGTTTCGTGGCAGAAACTCGCGGCAGGAAGGCTCGGCGCCCCTCCGCGGCCGCGCAATCTCCGCCTTTCATACCTCTACGGCCACGCGCACCTGCTGAGGCCGCCGCGCTGCCCCCTGGGAGCTGTAGTCCGCGCGCCTACCTGGGCGAGAGGCCGCCCGGCGGAGGGCGAAGGTCTGCCACGCGCCTGACCGCCCCCCCCCGCAGCCTCGGCCCTGGGGCGCCCTCCCCTCCCGTCAGCCCGGACGGGGACTGTGCTTGTTCTCTGGCCTTTCCCCCGAGGAGGCGCCGCATCGAGCTCTCTCCCTCCTTGATCCTCACAGCAGCCCTGCGGAGTAGGCCGGGTTAGGTCAGGGGTCAGAAAACACTTTCAGCAGGGGCCGGTCCACAGCCCCTCAGACCTGGTGGGGGGCCGGAATATATTGGGGGGAAAAATATGAACGAATTCCTATGCCCCACAAAAACCCAGAGATGCATTTTAAATAAAATCACACATTCTACTCATGTAAAAAGACACTGATTCCCGGACCTATTCCTGGATTGAGAAGGCAGTTGTGCCAGATCCGGCCCCCGAGCCCCGGGCTAGGCCAAGAGGGAGCCAGTGGCCGGCTGGCCCAACTTCATGGCTGAATGGAGATTGGCCCATAGAATCAGAATGGTAGAGTTGGGAGACACCCCGAGGGACATCTAGTCCAGCCCCCTTTAGTGCAGGGCTCTATCCCAAGTCACAGTGCCACACTGGCTCTCAGATAGGGTGTTAGGGGCTCAGCTCCAGATTGCTGCCATTCCAGGCGGATGCTCTGTTCCAGCAACATGGGGGGGGGGGGGCAACAGGTTGGTGAAGACTGCCCTAGATCTGCAAGTGGCCCCATTTTATTCCCTTCAGAAAGTCTGCCTGTTCTCTTGGAGCCTAGCACTCTTTGCTGCAGCAGGTTACCCCAATGGGGGAAGGCCCCATCCCACCCCCCTCACTTAATCTCCATGCGAGGAAAAGCGCCACTTGCTCATTTCTGCATTATAGCAGTGGAGTAGGGAGAAGGTTCTGGTATAAGGATTCGCTTCCTCTGTGGGTTTCAGGCTATCTGTGCCAAGACCAATCTTTTCCTTGAGGAAAAGAGAGAGCTGATAGCTGCGGTGGGGTTTGGCAAAGGGGGGGCGGTCTGCCACTCCCAACTCTTCAATTTTTGCTGCCTTTTTGCAGCTGGAAGATTTTGGCCTCATCCATGCTGTCATTTCATGTGCATAGTGAACTGCCGCTACTCTGTTGTCCATACATTCTTTTTTTAAATTAATTTTATAATGAATGATTTTAGAGTGTTGTTTGTGCTGTACTTTTGTACTGTTTTATTGTTGTTAGCCACCCTGAGCCCGGCTTCGGCTGGGGAGGGCGGGATATAAATAAAATTTATTGTTATTGTTATTATTATTTTATATTTAATTTTTTATTGGTTTTATAGACTTAACATAAAATCCAATTTATACACTTCTCTTACCAATTCAACTTTCTATTCTTACATTCATTATTCCCACTCCCCACAAAAAAAATACTTGCTGCCTTATACTCAATACTTATTACTATACATTTCTTTATCTACTTTTTTTCTTACTATCCTTCCATTGCTTATACTTCAAGACCTGCTCATGATTTCATTTGGCTAGAGTATTTCCCCCATGAAAGGAATTTCCATTCTTCCATATACTTTTCTTCATTTTGGTCTTTTATTTTTGCCATCAATCTTTCCATCTCCACATAGCCTATTAACTTCAAAAGCCATTCCTCTTTTATTGGTACCTTGCCTTCTTTCCATTTCTGTGTGTACAGAACTCTGTCTGCTGTGGTTGCAGATATAAACAAACTGACCATCTTTTTTTTAGGATTTCTAATCCTGTTATTCCTAATAAGACTGCTTCAGGCTTCTTGGGAATAGTGATTTAATTTTTTTTTTTAATTCATTATGTTTCGTTTTCCAGAAGCCTGTTGCTTTTTTACAAGTCCATCACATATGGGAAAAAGTCCCTTCTGCCTGCTGGCACTTCCAACATTTGCTCAACACAGTCTTGTACATCTTGGCTCACTTACTCAGTGTTAGGTACCACCTGTATATCATTTTCATTAATTTTCATTTAATGTATAACATGCTATGAATTTCATATCTACTTTCCATAATTTTTCCCATGCTGCTATATCAATATTATGACCCAAGTCCTTAGCTTATTGCATCATTGTTGTTGTTTTTTTAAATGATATTTATTACTTTTTCAAAATTTCCAACGCAGCACTACAAACAAAGAGAAAGAAAAAAAAAGGAAAAAAAAGAAAAAACAATACGAATACAATACAAAAACGCTACATGGACTAACAAATCAAGCAAAAACAAACAAAAACAATTTAAAAACACCTCAAACATTTTCAATATCTTATATTTCATTCACTTATTTCCAGCGACTTCCTCACACCTCCCTTTTTGTATTCCACTTCTATTATTTGTTTCAGCAATTCCTTTCCATCTTACTCTGTTTTCTGTTCTATAATTATCTTAACACATTCTTACCATACTTTTCCTTTAATTTTCTATTAATCTATTTATACTTAATTCCTTATGACATTTCTACTAAAGCCATGTAATTTCATTCCAACATTTTTCTAACATTCCTTAATTTTACAATATTTCTATAAATAGTCTTTAAACTTTTTCCAATCTTCTTCCACCGACTCTTCACCCTGGTCTCGGATCTTGCCAGTCATTTCCGCCAATTCCCTATAGTCCATCAACTTCGTCTGCCATTGTCCAACACTTCAGTGTTTTCAAGAAGCAGCCATTCTCTCAACCAGCAAAAGGCAGATGGTTCACAACGAAGTTTAAAGGTCTGGCAGGGCAGGTCCACCTCCTTCTTTAGCATCCATCAATATCTTAAGCTTAACTCGAGGCTTCCTGCCCTGCCAAACAACTCTAGGAGCATCCCTCTGCCACCTCCTGAGACCCTCCATCCCATCCAGAGCTTGCAATGTTTGAAACAAAAGCAACATCCCCAGCAACATAGCAGCCCTCATCCCCACCACAATGACTCGGCCCAACAGTAACAACTTCTGATTTGTCCATATTTCCAAATCCCCCTTCTCTTCAATCCAACATCCTTCACAGTTGTCCTTAAGCAGATTCACATTTTTGGCGGTCATACTAACCCCCAAATACCTCTCTTTCTCAACCAATGTTAGTCCTGTCGCCTCCTGAAACTCTGTCAGGCTTTCCTTTTCCAGTTCAGATAGGGCTCTGGTCCTCAAATTCATCTGTTCTTATTTAAGTTCAATCATAACGAATGTCAGCTTATGTTCATCAAGTTGTCTTTGTATGGATGGGACTCTCCTCTCCAGTTGTATTACTTTAAATTCAGCAGCAAGGTTTTTTCCCCTGACTTCATCTGCAGTTTGCTGTATCAGAGTAGATTCCTGTATCAGTTTCTGGGTGGTTTCTGAATTGGTATTCACCTTTTGTCCCAAATTATTTAAACTGTCTACAATTAAATCAGTTTCAATATTTGCAACATCCAATTTCACATTTATCACATCTGTTTTCTTATGGAGTTGTTCCAGCGAATCGTTTATTTTCAATAATGCAGCCACTAAGGCCTCCTCTGTCGACATCCCGTCTGTTTTTTCCTTTCCGTTTGCCATAACACTTAAGAGATTCAAGGTCAATTCCAAAGTCTCACACTTTTCTTATCTTGCAGCTGGAAATTCCCCTAGCCCAGCACCTATAAAGTAACCAATTTCAAAAGCTTCCACTAGGGGAAAACAGGTTGTATTTGTATCGGTCAATATGTCCTCTTTTAAACACAGTTTCAATAATCCGAAGTTAGTTTCAATTTTCAGTTACTTTCCTCCTTTTTTAAAAACAACCGGAAACAGTAGAAACAATGTATTTCTCTTATTTAGCTAGCTGTCAATGAACGTTCTAAGCGCTGTCAATGAACATTCCAAAAAAAACAAACAAAAAAAACCATCAGTCTTACTAGCAGCCCGTTTCCAGGGTCAGAGCGGCGGTGTTTTAAGCCTCTTCGCTCTCTCCCGCAGGCATACTCAATCCGCAACTTCCCCCTCTCTTCTCCTGCCTCCAAGAGGGGGTTTAATGTTCTTTACCGTTGGAAATTTGATCTTTTACAAAAGACCTTCCAGGACTCCAGCTTGCAACTTTGTTGCCTCAGTCTATTTACAAAAAGGGAAGGCGGACTTCCTGTTTTGAACCTCCCCGTTACGATACCAAATTAAACTTTTAGAGATCCAATTCTTCTGTTTCAGCTCTACTCACGGGTAATTACTTTAAAGTCAAATTGTCCACAGGAAAAGGTCAGCGCTCTCCAGCAACAGCTATGCGGCTTCGCTCCGTGGAAGAAGCAGACGATTCGATGCACCGCGCCGCTCACCCCACGTCGCTCCAGAGCCCCAAAAACCGGGGTTCCCCGCGAGTGGGGGAGGCGCAAAAGGTGCCCGCCGAATCCCACATTCACAGGCTTCTCCTGCCTGTGATTTTAACGGGTCTCCGCCTTCGCCGTGGCGGCCAGACCCAGATTTCCACGGAGCAGATTCCTCCCGGTCAGAGGAATTCTGCCTTTGCTGGAGGCGCCTCCCCCGGAAGTCCCGCTTATTGCATCATTGTTGACTTAACCAGCTTATATTTTGTTTCCCATTGTAACAAGAGCTTGTACGTTTTTGAAATCAATTTTTCTTTGCCTTCTTTGTTTTGCAAAACCAAGTTTCTTATCTTTCTTAAATAGTTCATTTAGCTGATGGTACTGAAACCACCCCATTACCCACTCCTGGAATTCTTCTTGTTTTTTCAGTTTGCAACCCCCCACGAGAGAATTTTAATACATCCCGTAAGTATCCCATCCTGCTCTCATATTTAATTCCTGTTGGGCACTTGCCTCCAATGGAGATAACCACCATGGTGTTTTTCTTTCCAAAATATCTCTATATTGGGTCCAAACACCATATAGGCTTCTTATAACATGATTTTAAAATTCTTTTCATACCATAAGTTGGCGTACCACCCATAACCTTCTAAATTCAACTGTCTAGTGTTATTCATTGTTAGCCATTCCTCCAACCAGGTTAAACATGAAGCTTCATAATACAATTTCAGATCCGACATCAAGAATCCACCTCTTCCCCCTGCATCTATTAATATTTTATATTTAATTCTTGTTTTTTTCCCTTGCCAGATAGAGAGTTCTTTTTGCCATTGTTTAAGACAACTCATTTTATGTATTACTGGGATTGTCTGAAAAAGAAAACTCATCTCAAGCAATGCATTCATTTTTATGGCAGAATTTCTTCCCAAAACTCTATTCTTACCCATCTACACAAGTCAAATTTCATGCTGTTCCACACTTTAATGTAGTTATTTTCACACAACATTGCATTTTTACTTGTTATCCAAATACCTTTCTACCTTTAAGCCACTCTTTGCTTGTAATATTTTATTTGTTAATCTATATTTTAAACCAACATTTTTGTTTTATCCTTATTTATATAAAAACCTACAAGATCACCATACTGCTTTATCATTTTTAATACCTTCATTACATTTTCCACATTACATTTTAATACCTCCATTACATTTGTCCAGAAAAAGAACTACATCACCTGCAAATGCCCTTAATTTATAATTTTGTTGCCCTAATTGGACATCCTGTACCTCTGTACTTTCTCTTATCTTTCTACATAATACTTCTAATATCAAAAGAAACATACAACATTCTCCTCCGAATTACGGTCTTCCCACACTTTCCCCTCCCTCCCTCGGTCTGGATTTTCTCACCAGAGTTTTCCTTCTCCTGGATGAGCTTAGGCTGTGGATCCCTGAGGTGAAGCTTCTGTTTTTGTACTTCCAGTCACTCTTTGCATAGAGGCACCTTCATAATATGGGGCAGGGCTCCACCAGATCTCTGCCTTGCCCCTCCTCCTCCTCCTGCATTTTCTTGCCAGGTCCTTGCACATCATTTCTAGCCATTGATCTTTGAGTGAAATCCTCCGTTGTCCGACTTCTGATGGCACCCAGGTGCCTTTGCCGTAGTTCCGTGTGAACTGCCACTGTTGAAAAGTATTTGTATTCAAGGTATTTGAAGAAGAATATTCAGCAGGACTCCCCTTCCTTGGCCTTCAGCAGCTTGGACTCAACAGATCTCTCACTGCCTCTCAAATGCAGTGCTGTGCCTCTTGAGCAGCTCCCTTCCCCACAAAGGGGAATTGCACTGCAGTATTTCCTAGTGGCTGCTCTTCCTCTTCTGGCAGCTCTTCCAACAGTGCCCCTTGGGCTGCTTTCTCTGAGCCTGCTTTCTCCACCCCCCTGCAGGTGTGGATGCTGTGCCAGCTGCAAATACCCCTTCTGGTGGGTCTCAGGCCAAGCTGGCCACAGCTGGGGAGCCACCGCTGGAAGAAGTTAGGGTCCAGGTGTGTGTCCCACCTGAGCGGGGCCATGAGGCTGGTCCAGTTCCATCCTAAGGAGTCTGCGGCAGAGCCCCGGATTGGGCTGGAGAAGGATGGAGGGGACGTGGTGGACTTGAACGCCTTTGACCCCTCTCTGCCCAGCAACATGCGCGCCTTCTTGGAAGGAGGAGATGCAGCCCTCGCTGTTGCTAAAAGGTATCTGGAGGTCTTCAGGGTCATAAAAGGACCTGCTGGCTGGTGGAGGGAGGAAGCCAAGAGGAGCAAGATCTGGGTCATTAGAGCTGGGGGGGGGGTGGAGGAGGAAGTGGCGGAGAGCTTTCAGAATAAGTGGAATGGGATAGGGCCAAGCAGGGTGGTTTTGTGAAGGGTTCACTGAAGCCTCCACACCAGCATCGCAGACCCTCAGGCCCAGGCAACGCCCTCGGTGGCCTTGCTTCACACCCTCAGGGAGTGTTTTTGCCTGCCTAGAAGGTGCCTTTGTCTTGAAATGAACTCTGGTCATTGCTTGTGCTCGCCTGGGTGCAGGTTTGAGAGGCGCGTGTGAGTGCATGCAGAAACTTGCTTAATGTACAAAGGTTGCATTTGTATTCATTGCTGCACCCACTTTTGCCGCTGGCCCCATCTGCGACTGGCAGGTGGCTCCCCAAGGTTGTTGAGAAGGGAATGTGGTCCTGAGGCAGAAAAAGGCCCCCACCCCTGCTGTACAAACAAGGCCCATGCCCAGGGTCTTAAGAGTAGTATCCAGCGACTGGGTTGCTGTATCTACCTGAGACAAAGAACAAGATGGTGCCCCCACCTTTCCTGCCTCGAAGCTGACTGGGCTGGTGCCTCCTGTTACAATCCTGGCAAGAGGGCAGTGTGTCCTGTACCACACCTGAGGAAGTAGGCTAGCCATGGGGTGCAGGCAGGCTGCATGGCACACACAGCTCTGATCTTTAACTTTGGGGTTGCCAGCATGACACCCATGGGCGCATTGGCACCCTTGAGGTTTTCTCCTGGCACCCACAAAGCCTCTGATTCTCTCCCCTCCCCCTTGGTTGTGAGGTGGTGATTATATTTTCCTCCCTTTGGTATGTAGAGCTGAAGGAAGAGCAACATTTTCCCACTTCTGCTTTCAGCTCTATGTGCTTTTCAAGGCTCAGATTAAATCTGTTGGATCCAACTTTTACCCAGATCTCTTGGGAAAGCAAAGCAGGGGCGCACACACTTTCTCAGAGAAGTGTGCACTGATCCTGGGCAAGGCTGGTAGGGATGGAACAGAGAGGGTGGTATCCATAGCTTTTACTTAGAAAACCAAATCTGCTCACAGGCATAAAAAGGTTGGCAAGCCATCTAACAGGAGGTTACAGGCAGGGGGTTGAGGAGGAGTAACTAGCAGGGCTGTCGGCCACCCAGCATCTCCTCACTCTGCCTAACGGTAGGGGTGGCTAGTCTGTGAAAAAGGCTTGCCAGGCTTTGGAAACAACAAAGGAGATTTCAAAACCTGCTTGCAATGCTGAAGCTGCAGCAAGCTCTCGCTCTCTGCCACCTTGCCTGACACTGTCTGGGGTCCCCACTTGAGATGCCTCTGTCTCCGTCTTCTGCCCACAGAGCGCAGGAGTCTGGCCAGCATGTCCTTCCCCGATCCAAGGTGACCCTGTTGGCTCCTGTCACGAACCCAGACAAGGTGATCTGCGTTGGGATGAACTATGTGGATCATTGCCTGGAGCAGAATGTCAAGATCCCCAAGGAGCCCATCATCTTCAGCAAGTTCAGCAGCTCCATCGTGGGTCCCTACGACAACATCATCCACCCAGCAGAGAGCGAAGTAAATGGGGCTGGGTTTTCCAAGAATATCTGGGGACCCAAGGTTGAAGAATACTGCAGTGACCCTTCCTTAGCCTAGAATCCTGATGGGTTAAGAACATAAGAGCCTGTTGCATCAGGCCAAAGGGGACTCATCTAGTCCATCATGCTGTTCTCACTGTGGCCAGCCACATGTCTGTGAGAAGCCCACAAGCAGGACCCAACAGCAAGACTGCTCTCCCCTCCGTTGTTTCTGATGTCCAGCTGTGGAGGCAGAGCTTAGCCATCATGGCTGGTGCCTTTGATAGCTTTGACATAAGAAGAGCTTGCTAGATCAGGCCAATGACTCATCTTTAGTCCACCATCCTGGTCTTACAGTGGCCAGACGTATGCCCATGGGAAGCACACAAGCTTAGTGGTGTCCTAATTTCACTAGGGGGATGGCTTGCACAAGAGAAGGTATGGGAAGCCAGCATGGTACTTGTGGCCCCAGTGCTACCAGTTGTACCACAAGAAAAGCTTGGCTGCTGGATCAGACCAAAGACCCATCTAGTCCAGCATCATCTTCTCACATTGCCCAGCCAGATGCCTCTGGGAAGCTTGCAAGCAGGACCTGAGGACCATAGCAGCACTTTCCCCATGGGCAATTCCCACCAACTCCGATAAATGCCATGGGTGGCCTCCTGAAGGCAGCATGGAACATTGGGAGAATAGTCCGTCAGGTTCCTGTGTTTTTTCTCCCTGCTGGCCTTGCTAGTCCAGCACTGATCTCTCAGGTGCCAAGACTGACCTTGCCTGTTCCCTCTTCTAGCAAGTGGACTGGGAGGTGGAGCTGGCCTTCATCATTGGGAAGAAAGGAAAACACATCCAGGTAAGCCAGATGTCAGCAATTTGCACCACATAGGGACCTGTGGTTTTGTTTTGGTCTTATAGCTCTCCCTTTCCCGGGTGCCCAGGGCAGGGAGCTGCAGAATTAACACTGCACTGCAGGTCTGCACATATCTACTCAGAAGTAAGTTCCATTGTTTTCTGTGGTATAGCCAAGTTAGTGGGTGCAGGATTGTAGCCTAAAATGGCTGTGTGGTCGGTATCTAGCACCATCCATGTCTTCAATGCTTTGCAGTTTCATAAATAATAAAAATTGCCTTGTAATTTTACCAAGGTGTTCATAATCGCATAACTACTGCTCACGTGACAAAATTTGGGACTATGTCCTGAGCATCCAGTTCCTTCCTGCCATTTAAAATTTAGCACAACCTGATAGTGCATCAATCAAAACACCACAGTTCCATAAATCATCTGGTCTTGCAGTGTGAAAGGAATGCCATAAATTGGGACGGAAGCATCAGCATTATAGCCATTAAAACTAACACAATAAACACTGCGTCTGAATGCAGCCCTAGATTACATCCCGAGTGGGAAGTAAGGCCTGCCCCCATTCAGGAATTTCCAAAGATTCATTCAGTGGTATTTATTAGTTTAGTATTACATTTATATCCAACCTTTCCTCCAAGGAGCTCAAGGTGGTGTTCATGGGTCTCCTCATTTTATTCTTGTGCATATGATAACCAGGTTTGATGTATAAAATATTGTTAAGCACAGGGGAGAGTGAAGAAAGGGTAGAAAAGGAATATGCCAGTGCAGAAGTGGGGAGGAGGAGGAGAATAAAGCCATACCATTAGCAAACACAAAATAGTCTGTTAGTTCCCATGGCAATATTGCTTGAAGTTTACCTAATAAAGGAAGTGCCCATTAACCTGTTCTTCTCCAGCCCCCAGTTTCACAGCAATATTGTTGCATCTTGCTTCTCTCCTCCAGGAGTCAGATGCCATGAGCCATGTAGCCGGGTTCACCGTTGCCCATGATGTGAGTGCCAGAGACTGGCAGATGCAGAAAAATGGAAAGCAGTGGCTTCTGGGGAAGACCTTCGACACCTTCTGCCCCCTGGGACCAGCCCTTGTCACCAAGGAGTCCATCTCAGGTTTGGAACCAGCAATGACATCGCCCCCTTTTTCTTTTTGCCTCCAGGGTTTGAGGAGAGGACAAGCCTGTGTCAGGACCCCTTCCCAGCTGCTCGAGAGTAAATTTTGCATCTCCTAGAATCCTCTTGGGTAACCTTTGAGTCACCTGAGGACCATCAAGGCTCTCTGACCAAGCTCTGTCCTCTTCCTTCTTCTTTAATCACTGTTGCTCCTGCCTGCCTTGATTTCTTGGCCTACTCTTCATGGTGTATCCATCTGTGCAGAGATGCATTTTTTTGGTTTGAGGTTGCAGAAATGTAATGTCCTTACAATAGAAGTACAGATGGGAAAACATCCAGGGTCACGTGTGCACCACATGCCTGCATCCATAGTCTGAATAAGTCATCAGTTGTGCTGACTCAACTACACTGAAATTTTTTTAATTGCTGCAGTACTTCAGTGGAGGTGGGTCAAACATGCCCAGGGGTTCCACAGTATCACTTGAGTGTTCATCCTGATAACGTTCACACGGAGGTGGTACAACATTGGCGGCCAGCGGTGCTTCTCTTGCACTTTCCAGTGCAGTTTAGAAAAGTGGTGGGAAGGCTTAGCCTTTTATCTATGCTGCCTGCTTGTTTTTGTATTTCTGTACATTCTTTTATTCTCAATAAAATTGTATAAAACTTTTTTTGTAAAAAAAAGAAGTGATGGGATGATTGCATTGCAAAGTGCAGGATAATAACCAAATTTTGTGTGAATAAACAGCCCATGTAAAATAAGGGCAGTTTGTAAGGGCAGTTTTCCACATTGCCTCACTTCAGCAAGAACAGTCTAAGTCTCAGCAGCTTCCCAGGCCTCTGGACACACAGCCGGCAGGTTTGTTAGCTGGATGCATCTCTTTGATGTAAAGGGGATGCTGCCATGGGAACACACATCTGGACCCACTAGTTCCTACTGGACTGCCGCTGCATTGCAGCCAGAGGTTTCTAAAGTGCTTGCAGTAAGGTCTGTGCAGTTACGATGTACATTAATAACACAAGTGCCCCGGGGACCCCGCAGTTGAACAGATAAGACTGCAGGGTTCCATCGTTCTTCCCTGATTTATCACAGAATACTTTTGTTAGAGCAAATCCATAAGGGCCTTAAGAGGAAGTGGCAGAGCATCTGCTTTGCATACAGAAGGTCCCAGGTTCAGTCCTCAACATCTCTAGGTAAGGGTGGGAATGACCCCCTCTGAACCCCTGGAGAGCCCCTGCTGGTCAGGATAGGCAGTACTGAGCTAGGTGAACATAGGGAAACTTCTGTGGGATGTCTCATGTCAGTAGAGCATGAGACGCTCAATTACAGGGTCATGGTGTTCAAGCCCCACTCTAGGCAAAAAGATTCTTGCATTGCAAGGAGTTGGACTAGATCAGAGGTTTTCAACCTTTTTGAGTCCATGGTTCCCTTAACCAACTACGTTCTTTCTGAGGCACCCCTGTGGAACTCAGGAGCCCAGTTATGTCACCCCTTGCCTGCAGAACTGGCAGCCCTTCACCATTTTTCCAAACACCCTCCCTTGTGGAGTGTTCCCTCAGCCTCCTCCCCTCTTCCCTCTCCTTGGGAGTGCTCCAGGCAGCTGCTGCTGCTGCCCCTGATCTCTGAGCTGCCCCCCTGCCCCAAAGAGAGGTGCCGCCCAGAAGCACCATTTGCCTGTGGAGCTTATAGCCAGGACTGCTGCAATAAACAGCTGTGCAAGCCTTTGGGAGGCAGAGATGCAAAAGAGCATCAGAAGAAGGAGGGAAAGAAAGAGGGACAGAGGCCAGTGTTGCCCGCGGCACCCCTGACCATCATTCAAGGCACCCCAGGGTGCCACGGCACACTGGTTGAAAAGCACTAGACTAGATGACCCCTGTGGTTCCTGCCAACTCTGCAATTCTATGATTCCTGTGTTTCCAGAAGGATGCCCCATTTTCATAAATGCTGTACCTTCTTTTTTGTGTGTGATTTCATGTTGCTCTCCTCTTGTTGCTACCAACAGACCCCCACAACCTGGGCATCCGTTGTCGAGTGAATGGGGAGCTTGTCCAGAACAGCAGCACCAGCCAGTTGATATTCAAGACGGAGGCACTTGTTGCATGGGTTTCCAAGTAGGTGCTCTCCATGACCCCCATCTCCTCCTCAACTACTGTTGACTATGCTCTGGTAACCTTGAGGTTAGATTACTGCAATGCGTTATATGTAGGGCGGCCTCTGATGACAGTTCAGAAACTTCAACTGGTATAGAATTCAGCAGCTGGGTTGCTCACTGGGGCAAGACGTTGTGAGTCTATTACATCAATCCTAGCTGCCAATTTGTTTCCAGGCCTAATTCAAAGTGCTGGCTTTGACCCATAAGCCTTAAATGGCTCAGGACCACAATATCTCAAGGACCGCCTTTCTCCATATGAACCTACCCAGACCCTGCATTCATCCTCCGAGGCCCTTCTTCGCGTGCCTCCTCCGAAAGAGGTCCAGAGGGTGGCAACACGAGAACAGACCTTTTCTGCAGTGGCCCCCTGCTTGTGGAATGCTCTCCCCAGGGAAGTTCGCCTGACGCCTTCATTATACACCTTTAGGCGTTGGGCAGAAATGTTTCTTTAACTGGGCCTTTGACTGATTGACAACCAATGTCATTTTAAATGTGTTATGGGACGGGGAGGGGTGGCTATTGGTTTGTTTTGTTCTTATACTTGTTCTTAATATGCATTTTGGGCTTTTATCCAGTATTTTTATATTGTGAACTGCCCTGAGATCTACAGGTGGTATACTGTACCAAATTAATGACTGCATTTTTCCTTGTATAAGACTATATTTCCCCCCCTATTTTTTCAAGTTTAAAATTGGGGGTCATCTTATACACGGATAGTGCATATGGGGGATTTCTTTATTTGGAGTCTCAAAACATAGGGGTTGTGTTATACACGGGGGCGTGTTATACATCAAAAAATACATTAAGTATGCCTTCAGTATCCCTAGAACGTCTCCAACCTCTCCCCCCCCCCCCATTGTTGAGCCTGGACACTGAGGTCCACCTCCGAGGATCTTCTGGCAGTTCCCTCATTGTGAAAAGTGAAGTTCTGGGGAACCAGGCAGAGGGCCTTCTCAGCAGTGGCACCTTCCCTGTGGAATTCCCTCCCATCAGATGTCAAGAGAAGGAACTACACAACTTTTAGAAGATATCTGAAGGCAGCCTTGTATCAGGAACTTTTTAATGTTTGACGTTTTAGTATGTTTTTATATGTGCTGGAAGCCGCCCAGATGGGTGGGGTATAAAAAAATAAATTTTTAGTAATAAATCTTGCTCTGGCCTGTTTTTGGCAGGTTCGTCACCCTGTACCCAGGAGACGTCTTCCTCACGGGGACTCCCCCGGGTGTTGGAGTTTTCCGGAAGCCCCCCATCTTTCTCAAGGTGAGCCCTGTTCCCAATTAATTTGTAGGCTCTGCCAGCATCTTCCCTTGTTTGCGCTCTTTCGATTGGAGGATTGGCAGCAAAATGCTTATTTTCCCTTTGTAGCATTTTGACATTCTGAACAAGGCAGCAGCTGTGGGGTCATCCCATAAAGCCAATAGACTGGCCCTTCAGTCCTATGGCCTCTGGCTGGGCATTGCAAGGGCCACAGGAAGGCACCAGACCTTCCTCTCTGAGGGCCAAGAGATGTTTGACCTTGGAGAGGCCGATCCCTCTGCCACCATGGGACTCCCCCCCCCCCCGTGCATTGTTTGGGGAGCAGATGCCTCCACCGTGGGGCATAATGCTTATCACAGGGTGGATCCAGCACCTCCTGTTCTCTCAACACTGGAGAGAAAACTCAGTTGTATGTTGGAAGATTCAGCACAAAGAAAATAATGTCCTCCTTTGCACAGTGCAGAGTTAAATGATGGGACTCACTCCCAAGAGGCAGTGATAGCCAACAATTTATCAAGGGCTAGTGGCCATGACGGCTATGTTCTGTGTCCACTGTTGGAGAAAGTTTGCCTCTATGCCAGTTACTTGGACAGACAAGTGGGGCGAGTGCTGCTGTTGCCCTTGGGTCCTGTGAGGACAAGATTCTCGACTAGATGGGGCCCCTTTGGGGTGTAGTGAATCCCCCCTTATTCTCAGTGAGAGGGAAATAACTGTACTGCAGGTGGGGCTGGGGCAGGAATGGATGCAAAGCTCATCTGCCTCCACTTGTGCCCTGCTGGCAAGTGCCCAGCAGAGTATGTGGTGGTTCATCCAACTTCACCTCCCCACCCTTAACAAAATAATGCATCTTTACCCTACAGATGCTCTATTAGCAATTGGCAACAGCATTTAGAGACGGCAGTCAAAGCCCCTATTAAGGGCTGAAAACCCAAATAAACTTAAATAAAGTTGGTTTTTATAAGGAAATGTAGCCATATCAAATACTTTGGGGGTGGGGTTGGGTTTTTTTTATAATATGCATTTAAAATTGCATGTTTATGATACAGAAACATGCATTTTGATTTGTAAAGAAAAAATGGGAACATAAGCTTTGGAGATGGGGTGCTGCACAAGCTGGAAGTCTGCTATGGTCTCCTGTGTCAGTGTTAAATTGTTATTGCAACTTAATGTAAGAGCTGCTGTAATTCTCTTGTACCACAGAGGGGAGATGAAGTGCAGTGTGAGATCGATGAGTTGGGAACTATCCGAAACAAGGTGGCATGATGGCATCCTGCTGCATCCCTTCAGGTCCCCTGGCCCTGCACAGCCGCAACAGCTCTACTTGAGTCTCCTAATCAAATCCAATCACGAGAATAGATTAAGGGATTTCTGGAATTAAGGGAACGGGGATGACTCCTCCCGGGAGTCTCAAGAAGACGCAGCCTGGAAAAACTGGTTCAACAGCACTGCAATTCCTGGGCACCATCTCAATGAAGAGACATGAAGGTGAGCCTGAGTCTTGCCTTTCCTCTGCCAACCAGTAAGAGGGAGGTCATTCATCGTCTCTGGTACAGAACAGGCTACAGTGGTGGGTTTCCCCTTTGTATTACAGAACTCTCTAGATTGTTCACTCACAATAAAGCAGCTTCTATTAAACTAATTGGGGGTTTGGATTAACTAGACATACAACTTTTTTTTTAAAGCATGGAATTTTGATTCATGGGCCACAGGTTGAAATATCTCACAAAGGGCTTGGAGGTGTTTGACCAATAGCTGTGCAAGGAAGGGTCCTTCTTCACAAGTAGATATAGCTTTTCTGTGCACAGTATGGTTCTGGCAGAAGCAGCTGCAGGTGCTGTAATTCTTCACAGCCCCTGCCTGAAGAGCAAAAAGGGTTCCCAGCTACGAGGCGGGCAGGGAAGCCTGAGGAAGACTTGCTGTAGAGTCCTTGGAATACCTAAAGTTTGGTAACTGTTGGTAATCACATCTGAATACTGGCAATTTCAAATGGATTTGGAATGCATAGCAATTTCCCTATTTTGTCAACCTTCACTAGCATATGTCCAAAACAACATTTAAGTTACTAGCAACGTGCACTGGTGGTGTGCTTGAGTTTTCACTCAAGCCTCTCTAACTTGCTGTTGTAGGATGCAGGAGATAATGGGAGTTTTAGTCCAAAATACCTAAGGGGCACCAGGCTGGGGAAGGACAGAGCAGGCACAGTTAAAAATGCAGTCAGAAAATATTGTTTATTACTTTCAAAGTCAGCAACAATGGCTCCCAGGGGTGGGGTGCAATCTAAATTATTTTATAAATAAAACACAAAATCATACGAACTACACTCATAATGCTTAACAACAAATGGATTTTAGTTCTTTACTAATTGGCCTCAACATTGGCTCACTGAAGTCCTGACAAGAGAGGCAACTTTTCAACTGGGATTTCAAAAGGGTCACACACCTGTGTGAAGACAACTTTCAAAATAAAGTTAGAAGGCAGATTTTAGTTATACCCCACCCCAACATATACACCTAGGAAGCAGAAACTACACTTGGATACCATACAAGGCCTCTGGAGACACTAGCTGTAGATAAACTGCTGGATAAATTTCTCCAGCTTCTCTTGGTTCTCTTTGGCACGGAAGGTCTCAGAGAGGTGGAGAATGGGCTCCCCTTGCCCTACTGCTTCTCTCAGCACCTAGAGTGGAAATTAAAAGAGGGGGGTTTAGCAATCCCAGACCCCACTGAAGGCAATGAAGTGGGTGGGGAAATTCTTTACTGTCACCTCACACATCTTATTGTGTGAGATTACTGTGGAGAGAAGAGGAGAATAGACACTGAGCAGCTCTTTTCAGAAACAGCAAGGTTTCCCCTGATACTGGCTGTTACAACTCTCAAAGGCAAGCTGTATAGAAACCCACCAAGACAGGTGGAAGATGAAGGCAAGGAGCTGCTGCTGTGGGGGGCTCTACGCCCTCAGCCTCTGCCTGAGAGTGACAAGCCAACACTGGCTGTACATGTGCAGGGGGTACATAGATATACATATATCATATCCTCAGTAATCCAGCAAAGGAGAAATCACTGCTAGACTCCACGGGATTTGAAAACACACAAAAAATGCACTCAAGCTGTGTAGGTGGAGTGGCAGCAAAAGTATACAGTGCTTTGGCCACATAGCTGTATGGCAAAGAGTCACCCATGCAACTGCCTGCATTTGGCTAGATGGAACACCAGGAGTGAGGGAGACAACAGAGGCATGCAAAGTCCCTCAGGGATGGAATTTGAACATGGCCTCCCAATCAGTAGACCATTGCTGGGTGGGATCCAGGACAAGCAGGACCTGAAACTCTGGGGGGAGTATAAAAAGCAGCACAAAGAGATAAGAAACAACCCACATTTTGTGTGCTGTGACCATAGGGGCTAGGAAACTGCTTTTGCTTCTTAAATAAAGCAACACTTCCGAGATTCTCAGGAGTGCTGCAAGATGAAATACAGGTGGCGAAATTATCTCAGATTAAGAACTGAATATAGCAATAGCGATGTGTTTGGAGAAGCAGGAACACCTGAAAATGGATTGTGGAGGGCATGAAAAGGAAGATTCTGGAATGCGATCAAAGACTTTGCACATTGAAGGGGCAGGCAAGGCAAGGCACTCACCCCCAGTTCCTTGTAGATTCGGACAGAGATAGTAGTCAGAGTTCTGCAGACACATTCTGAAAAAGTAAAATGAAATGGACAGAAAGGTTCAATGTGGGAGAGAGGACAGAGGCCCCCCACCCTCCAGGCAGGTTTCGAGTCTAGTGGTGGCACAGTTGCAGTGAGGCAATGTCATCAAGCACTAGGGGGCAAAGTTGGCTTGTAAAAACTAGCTTCTAATCTAGACCCAGGGGGTTATGTTGTGCTGGTTAAAACAATAAAGGAAATGCCATGTCAGAGCTGTTGTAACTAAGAGACTGAACATCGGATCATGAAACCTTCGGCTCAAACATTGTTTCTGTCATCAGCTCACTTGGTGGTCTTCGTGGAGCCAAAGCCTTCCCCCCTCAACTGCAGCTTTGGATAATCGCCCACCACTGGGAGGATTAGAATATAGGATACAATAAGCACACTGAACATTCAAAACACACTGTGCAAAAGCTAAGTATTGATAAGTGTTTTACTTGCTACATTTTAAGAAGGATGTAAAACAAACCTGGAGAGATTTATGGGCAGAAAAAGAAGAGGGTGTTGGGAAAGCCTGTGAGGAGGAGGAAGAGTTTAAGGAACTGGGGCCTTTTCAGTGATGGGAAATGGCCTTCATGTATCTAGGCTAACAGCTGTGGTTCGCCACTGCCACAGGCCTCAGCATAAGAAAACGGGGTGCTTAAAATAAAAGGGTTTTAGGTAATTTCCCATTTTATGAGGTCACAAAATCCTTGTCCATCAACAAGGGCAGTTTGGTATAAAGTTACTTAGGAGTAGCTCTATACTACCAGGAAAACTGACTCTTCTGTCCATAGTGGCTTCACTAAAGTATCTCTGGCAGCTGTAGGACTGTGAAAGGCTCAGATTTCTCTCTTAAAGTGGAGTTCAAGGCTGCTGACTGACCCACAGCTTGCTTAACTGCAGAGGCTCAAGTCTTGTCACCAGGGAACCAGCAAGGAGGCAACATACCCAGAAAGATACAGAAATGCTAACATGAGAAGAATGCTCAGCTGGTCATCAAAGCTATTAGCAGTATCAACAAGCGACTAGGGGCTCCACTCCTGCTTGCTCTGCCTCCCAACCAATCCCCCCACCCCCTAAACCTCACCACCCCCACCCTGCCTCCACTAGCCCATTAGATGGTGTGGGGAACCTTTGTGGCTTCCACTTCACAGGCCAACCTTGATGGGGGCAGGGCCACATGATGACAAACCTTAGCTGCTTAGCATATTTATATACACATAACATTTCTATAGCCCTTTCAAGTGTTCAAAGTGCTTTGCAAAGTGTATTATCTAGCGGTGAGCCGAACAACAATACTGTTTAAGTCAACAATATTATCTCACCATCTTGCTGGTTGGTGCATGGAATTGATGGCAGCCGAGGTGAGATTCAAACTGGGAAAGCCCCAGTTTGCAGAGCTGTCCTGTAGCCACTGCATCACACCAGCTCTACACTTATTCGCTTGGCTACCACCTGGCCCTCTCTGGGCCTCTGCACTCACCAAAGGAAGAGTCTTCTTTTGCCTTCCTTGCCAAAAAACAGTGCAGCTTCTCCACATACTGGGACTCTGTAGGGGACAGCAGTGCTGGTGGTCAGAAGGACACAAAGCAGAAAGCAAAGGGAGGTCACTAGCCTCAGCTGCACCATTAGCACTGGGAGAGGGATCTCTGCACCATGACAAATGTCTAAGGGTCGCAGCAGCTCAAATTCTAAATATGAATCTGCAGGGTCAGAGGTTGCATCCAAAGGTAGAAAGAAACTCAACAATATCTTTGGTTTCTTTTTTTAAAAAAATCCAGAATAAATCATGTGCAATCACAGTTTCCGTATAGTTTGTCAATAAACAAAAACCAAACACAGTTGATTAATGGCATCCACTTTTCCTAAGAAGCAGTACAGGGCTTAACTAACAGAATAGTACACTGAGATGCAAGATTATAAAACAATGTACACCAGGAAAAAAACCTAATCACACAACCAGCAACAGCTTTATGTACTTGCTTTATGTACCCATTACCAATATGATGCAGTTGTATATTGGACTGATCCACACATGCTACAACAAGCCTTTGCCAACCTGGTGCCCTCCAGATGTTTTTGGACTACTGCTCCCACCAGCCTTGCCCAGCACAACCAGACAGGTGAAGGCTGTGTCAAAACATGGTGTTAGTGCTGCAAACTCAAGGAAAACCTTTGGCTTGCAAGCTCTCCCCTCTCCTTCAACCTTCCATTTCAATGAATCCTGGCCTGCTGTTATGAAGGAACCGAGAGACAGTGGTTCAGAACAAGCACTGGTGAACCAAGACAGCTTTGTTTAGATACTGATCAGAGTTGGGGATAGCTCATCTGGTAAAACATGAGACTCTTAACCTCAGGGTCATAGGTTCGAGCCCCATGTTGGGCAAAGGATTCCTGCATTGCAGGGGGTTGGACTTGATGACCCTCGTGGTCCCTCCCAATTCTACAATTCTTCTGGTTCACTTGTATGTTCAAGGCTGTGTTTTTCAAACTGTTCCAGGCATCCTAGGATTCCCCCAGAAGCTTCTCAAGGGCTTGCCAAGGGGGAGAGCATAAGAGATTAAGAGTCTCACACTCTACCAAGTGAGCTGTCCCAGATCAAGAATGATGGGCAACCTTCCCCAACAAACACGCTTCCGCAATAATGCTGATCTTCCTTGGTAACATGTCACTGCAAGGGAGAGCTGGGTTATCCTCCAGGCTGCACACTCAGTTCACTCAGGGCAAGGAAAAGCCCTAGAACATGCCCCAGAATCCTCAGCAACACACAGGGAGCACAGCTGACAAGGCAGGCAGGAAGTTTGAAAAGCAGTGCTCAAGGGCAGCCTTCACCATTCTGGGGCCCTTCAGTGGCTTTAGGCTTCATCAGCTCAGCCAACCAGCTTTATTGATGCTGGGGCTGATGGGAGATGTTGTCCAAAACATTTGGAGGACACCAGGCTGGCAAAGGTGGCTCTGGGAAAATGGGACACTGCTAGGCTGTTACCAGTTTGGGCACCTCCTTGCTCATGAACGTAGCAAGCAAAAGGCTGTTCATGGAACACAATGGACACAAGAACCTGAAGAAAAGCAGAGGACAGTAGCTTTTGTGTTGTATACCCAAGTTAGTGGGTGCAGAACCTAACTAACAGCACCTGGGCTTTGCTAATGAATCAAATCAACACAAGGCTAATTTCACCTAGGGAAAGACAAATCCTGACAGTAACAACCCATCAATTGTTACCATGCAACAGTTGCTTAAGGTGTGCCAAAATGAATCCAAGGACTTTTACTGGTGAGCTATTCAAAGGAAGCTTAATCCTGTAATAACTGCGGCTAGTGGAAGAGATACATAAAGACCAAGCAGGCTTTCTCCCGGGTAGACATCTATCTGATAATGTGAGAAACATAATATTCTAAAAAAATTACAAGTGAACATAAATACTAAGGCAGTTCTGATATTTGTGGACGCGGAGAAAGCTTTTGACAACATTTCTTGGAGTTTTATGAAGAAGAACCTACAGGGGATGGGGGTAGGCCAAGGTTTTGAAAATGGTATAAGTGCAATTTATTCAGAACAAAAGGCTAAATTAATTGTAAATAACGTGGTGACGGAAGAATTTAAGATAGAAAAAGGGACACGACAAGGTTGCCCAATCTCCCCATTGCTTTTTATATCGGTCCTGGAGGTCCTGCTGAATATGATTAGAAGGGACCAGTTGGTTAAAGGTATACAAGTCGGAGCTAAACAGTACAAGTTGAGAGCATTTGCAGATGACTTAGTATTGACGTTACAGGAGCCAGAATCTAGTACTAAAAGGGTTTTGGAACTGATTCAAGAATTTGGTCAGGTTGCAGGATTTAAACTGAATAAGTCAAAAACAAAGGTCTTAGAGAAAAATTTAACTACGATGGAGAGAGAGAGGTTTCAGAATGAGACAGGTTTAACAGTGGTTAAGAAAGTGAAATACCTGGGGATTAACATGACAGCTAAAAATGGGAATCTATTTAAAGACAATTATGAAAAATGTTGGGCTGAAGTGAAAAAAGATTTAGAAATTTGGTCAAACTTGAAGCTTTCACTGCTAGGCCGTATTGCTGCGATAAAAATGAATGTATTGCCTAGAATGTTGTTTTTGTTACAAACATTGCAAGTTTTGGATAAAATGGATTGCTTCAAGAAGTGGCAGAGAGATATTTCTAGATTTGTCTGGCAGGGCAAGAAGCCCAGAATAAAATTTAAAATATTAACGGATGCAAAGGAAAGAGGTGGATTTGCCCTGCCAGACCTTAAACTTTATTATGAATCAGCAGCTTTTTGCTGGCTGAAAGAATGGCTGCTTCTTGAAAACACAGACATTTTGGACTTAGAAGGTTTCAATAATGTATTTGGATGGCATGCATATTTGTGGTATGACAAAGTCAAAGCACATAAAGCATTTAAGAATCATATTGTCAGGAAAGCATTGTTTAATGTCTGGATAAGATATAAGGATTTATTGGAAAATAAAACCCCAAGGTGGTTGTCACCGATGGAAGCGAAAGCACTGAAAAAGCTCAATATGGAGGCCAAATGGCCGAAATATTGGGAAATTCTGGAACAAGAGGGAGATAGACTGAAATTGCAGAGCTTTGAGAAACTAAAAAACAAAGTGCGAGATTGGCTTCATTATTATCAGATAATGGAGGCATACAATTTGGATAAGAAAATAGGCTTCCAGGTGGAAAAATCAAAATTAGAAACAGAACTGTTAGAACCCAAAACTAAGACTTTATCAAAGATGTACAACTTGCTGTTGAAATGGAATACTCAGGATGAAACGGTGAAATCTGCTATGATTAAATGGGCACAAGACGTTGGACATAACATAATGATGGCTGACTGGGAACAGTTATGGACCACAGGTATGAAGTTTACGGCATGCAATGCCTTAAGAGAGAATATTATGAAAATGATATACAGGTGGTACATGACACCAGTCAAGCTTGCAAAAATCTATCATTTGCCCGATAATAAATGTTGGAAATGTAAAGAAACTGAAGGTACATTCTTTCACCTTTGGTGGACGTGCCCAAGGATTAAGGCTTTCTGGGAGATGATCTATATTGAATTGAAAAAGGTATTTAAATATACCTTCTTGAAGAAACCAGAGGCCTTTCTCCTGGGCATAGTCGGCCAATTGGTGTTAAAGAAGGATAGAACTTTCTTTATGTATGCCACAACAGCAGCAAGAATACTTATTGCAAAGTATTGGAAGACACAAGATCTACCCACTCTGGAAGAATGGCAGATGAAGGTGATGGACTACATGGAATTGGCGGAAATGACTGGCAGGATCCGAGACCAGGGAGAAGAGTCGGTGGAAGAAGATTGGAAGAAATTTAAAAACTATTTACAGAAATATTGTAAAATTAATGAATGTTAGATGATGGTAGAATGAAATTAAGTGGTTCTAGTAGCAATGTCATAAAGGTGTATGTAAAAATGGGGTTAATAGGTGAGAATCTAAAGTTATAAAATATTAAGTTAAAGGACTAAGATATAAACAAAGAGGGAAAGGAATTGCTGAATTAACCAATTGAACTGGAATACAAAAAAGGGAGGTGAGAGGAGGTCAGGGAAGCAAGGAAATGAAATGTAAGATACGGAAGGATTAATTTGTTTTTAAGTGTTTCTTTTTTATTTTTTTCTGTACTTTGTATTTTGTATGTTTTTTCTCTTTTTTTAATATATTTTTCCTTGTTTCTTTTCTCTTTAACTATGTAATTTTTTGTTTTTGAAATTTTAATAAATATCATTTAAAAAAAATAAAAAAAAATAACTGCGAATATTTTTGTAAAGAGAGAATGCTGGGTGCTTCTAGCATTTGGAGAAGCTTTGCTCAGTGGTGGGGCCTTTTGCATGTAGAACAGATGCCCTCCCACTGAGCAGAACTTCTCCAAATGCTTGGAAGCACCTTCCCAGGGAAAATTAAGGCTGTTGGAAGCCACTCTAGGGAAGAGGAACCTGGCTGTGGGGCATATACCTGATTGAGGAGACTCCATTTCCCAGAGGAAGACAGTGGCTCTTTCCAAGGTCTTCAGCAAAGGGCTCAGAAGACAGCAGAGGAACACAAAAAAGTTGGAGCAGTTTTCCACCTGGCTTATCTAGGGCAGAAAAAATGAAAAGAGACACAGGGACTCTGATAAGACGAAGGTTCACATATTGATCCCAACTGCTTTGTGTAGACACTGCAAAAACTTACATGCGTGATAAGCATCGATCCCACAATATAACCCATCTGGAAGTACCCGAAGCCAATGGAACTCCCTTGGGAACACGTGCAACACACTATTCTTTTGAGTAACAGCCTGCATGTCACAGAAGCTAGGCAACACCAGTGGGGAACAACATAAGCGCTCGTGCTATGATACAAACACAATCTCTATCAATAAACCACCCTTGTGAAAATTGCATGGGTTGTATCCAATGCTGGTCCTACCCACAGTAGAAGCATTGAAATGAATGGCTAAAACTAACCTAGGCCCATTAATGTCAGTGGGTACAGTTCTATTATCATGGACAAAACTGCCTTGTACACACCATGTCACATTTTCAGCAGAGTGGAAATATCTACAGAAACAGCATCTCTGTAAGAAACTATATGCATAGAGAGAGGTCTGAAAGCAGCCTCCGTGTGCCCGGGAGGTGGTGCTGTGCATCCAGATGTTTTGGAACTGCAGAAAGTCTCTCCCAGGCGGTGCAGCAAGTAGAGATGAGCTCAGTGAGCTCCCCATCCTCAGCACCAGCCAGTTAATTACAGGGAACTTCGCTCCCTTCTTGAAAGAACACAGAGGAAGGTTTCAGAGCCTCAGCCCACACAGCTGGCATTTGAAGAGACAGGTTGTGAACTCGGGATGTGTCATATGGGTGCTGGGAAACAAAAGAAGTTGGAATTTATATGGTAATTTGATGTTCCCTCTGACAATGAGGATGAGGAAGGAGGGTGGCCTCCAGAGCTGTGACGCCCTTCCCACATGAAGCCAGACCCAGCAGGAGGATTTCAAGGATCCTCAGAGCAGCAGGGAAGCACAACAGACAGCAAAGGAGCTCACCTTTCCCACCCCGCTAGGAAGCCTGGTTGGGAAAAGCAGGCATCTTTTCCCCAAGAGGAACACATCTGGGTTTGGGTGCAAGGTCCCTGCTCCAAATGTGGCTGCAGTGAGACCAATTTATTGAGTGTGGGTGTAAAGAAAATCCCTCGGCCACACCCCATACTGAAAAGATATCAAGCACATACCCTGAACATCGTGTTTGTACTTCATCTCCCTGCCCCCCAAAAAGGCTGAAAATCCTACCACACAAAATTTCATATGGCATGAAAAGTCATGGGAAGGGTAAAATATTGTGTGCAGAGTATCAAATTT